CCCTCTCGTTCTAAGAATGTACAACTAACTCTAAGTATGCTGAAGAAGTCAGAACTCTAGCTTCAAGTGGCACGGGGCTGGGACTGCAAGCAGAGGGTGCTCGTCAAACAACAGCATCCTAGCTCTAGTGCCTGAACATCCCAGGGCGCAGAGGGTGCTCGTCAAACAGCAGCATCCTAGCTCTAGTGCCTGAACATCCCAGGGCGCAGAGGGTGCTCGTCAAACAGCAGCATCCTAGCTCTAGTGCCTAAACATCCCAGGGCAAGGGCAGTTCCTCACCTTGTGCTAGATGCTGATCTTCCAAGCACCTCTGAAAAAAGAACCACTTCCTCTTCCTGTTACTAAGATATAGATTATATTCCTTACCTATAATAAACAGAATTCCAAAACACAATTTCCTGGAGAAGTAAGGGAAAAAAACTGGAATACTCTGAAGCAGTAAAGTCCACATTATTTTGGTTTATTGATAAAATCAGCTCTGCTCTGCACATTGGGAATTAATCCTGAAAATACATTTAATGGTAGCTCCCTAGTATAGCATCATGATTTTGGAACAAGAAAATAACTTTAATTCTTGAGAATGCTGTAACTGATATAGCAAAAGTCCCAGGGTTACTAGCGAGAGTAGCCTCAAGTGCCAATCAAAAGTGGTATGCTAATAAGCAGTTCATAAAATTCTCAATTATAAAAGCAAAACAACAATACTTGTGTTGTCAAACCCATGCCATTACTATGAAGAGCAAATAAAACAATAAAGACCAAATCAAATCAAAGTGTTATAAACTGTAAGGTGTTTCAAAATTGTTTGAACCTATTGAATTCAAATTTTCCTCCGTGGCTGGGCACAGTGGCTCTTGTCTGTGATTCCTGTGCTTTGGGGGCTAAGGCGGGAGGTCTGCTTGAAGCCAGGAGTTCAAGAACATCCTGGGCAATACAGTGAGACCCCACATCTACAAAAAATACAAATTAAAAAATTAGCCAGGAGTGGTAGCCCTGCATCTATAGTCCTCGCTACTCAAGATGCTGAGGTGGGAGGATCACTTGAGCCCACAAGTTCAAGGTTACAGTGAGCTATGATCGAGGCACTGCACTACAGCCTGAATGACAAAGTGAAACCTTGTCGCAAAAAATAATAATAATAATTAATAAACTAAATGTCCCTCCAAATTCAGAAGAGAACATAATTAAACACCTGGCCAAAAAAACCTTAAGTTGTTATTATCATTATCCTCATTTTATAGATGAGGAAAGGAAGGCTTAAAGAAGTAATTCCTAGATGGTCACGGTGGCTCACGCCTGTAATCCCAGCACTTTGGGAGGCCAAGGAGGGCGGATCACCTGAGGTTGGGAGTTCGAGACCAGCCTGACCAACAGGGAGAAACCCCATCTCTACTAAAAATACAAAATTAGCCGGGCGTGGTGGCGCATGCCTGTAATCCCAGCTACTCGGGAGCCTGAGACAGGAGAATCACTTGAACCCAGGAGGCAGAGTCTGCAGTGAGCCAAGATTGCGCCATTGCACTCCAGCCTGGGCAACAAGAGCAAAACTCCATCACACACACACACACACACACACACACACACACAAAGAAGTAAAGTAACTCCTCTAAGGTCACACAACTAGTAAAGGTAGAGGGCTGGGTTTCAAGCCTGTGTCTGACTCCAAAACCATCCTTTTAACCACTGTATCACTAAATCCAGACCACCTCTGTGAAAGTCATCAGATTAAAAGAGACGGTTACAAAACGGGAGCAATTCCATATATACTGTACCTTGCAAACACCAGAGGGCCTCATCCCACGTACCCCGAATAGGAAAAAAAAAAACAGGTCTTTTCACATGTAACTGTTTTCCTTAAAGGATTTTTAAAACTATTCAAACTCCAGGTTAGGCACAGTGGCTCACGCCTGTAATCCCAGCACTTTGGGAGGCAGAGGGAGGAGGACTGCTTGAGCTCAGGAGTCCTAGACCAGCCTAGGCAACATAGTGAGACTCTGTCTCTGCAAAAAAATTTTAAAAATTAGCCAGGTGTGATGGCACATGCCTGTAAGTCCTGACTACTCAGGAGGCTGAGGCGGGAGAAGCGTTTGATCCCAGGAGTTCCAGGTTGCAATGAGCTATTAATATAATCGTGCCACTGCCGTCCAGCTTGGGTGACAGAGTAAAATTCTATCTCTAAAAATAAAAATGAAAGAAAAACTCCATGATCCATGTTCTTTTTTCATACATACTTAATTTAGTAATCTGAGTGTTAGATCAAAGTCTAGGATAGTTGCAGAAAAGAAGATGAAATCAGCTAAGAGCAAATTATAGAAATACATGAAAACTTTCAAAGAGCTGGTATAAACTGCCTTTTACTGGGCTCTAACACTGGCAAGTTGCGTCGGAAAAGGTGACCCTTGTCAAGTGTCACCAGAGTAATTTTTTAAGTAATGCTAATAAATAGACATATTACATTCTTAAAATCATCCCAAATTCAGAAGTAAGCTTTCACTCTTTTATCTTTTACGATGAGATGGTTCCATGTGGGCAGTTTCCCTGGTAACTTACAGAAACAATCACTGAGACTCAGCTACTCCTGCAATGGCTAAAAACTAAAAACCATTCGTGAATGACAACAAATACAACCTATTCTCCATGGTACAAGAAAACCAATCACAAGCCCGTCTGGGTGAGACCTGGCTAATAAGAACATTACTTGAGAGGGGTACAAAGAGAAGCATGGATTGCCAAGGGGGAAAAGTCATTTATTAGACTGTGACAAGCTTTTAAATGTTTGCATTATCATTAGCCAACTGCCTGGTTCTCCGGTTTGCACACCTGCCGCCTCCACCCACAGCTACTACGGTAGCAAACCCGGAAGTACGCCTGACCTCTAGAACACTGGCGCCCTCTTCTGACCCTTCCGCGGTACTGCATGCACTCAAGCTACTGAAACAAAAAACTATTAATAAAGTTATTACATTTTAAAATAAAGAGTGTAATTGGATTGTTCGTAACTCAAAGGACACACGCTTGAGGGGATGGATACCCCCATTCCCCATCATTTATCTTCACACTGCATGCCTGTATTAAATATCTCACATACCCCATAAATATATACACCTACTATGTACCCACAAAAAATTTTAAAAATAAAGCTATAAATGAATAACTTTGCAGGTAACATTATCTAGATGATTTCATATTTATAATTCCCTGAATAAACCTAAGTTTAACTTAATAAAAGAAAAGGAAGACCATCTAAATACTATGTTCTCTTAACATCTCAACAGTATATGTATTAGTTGATTTTATTATAAGAATTATAAAATGATAACAATGACGAATGTACAAAGACTTTACTATGTGCCGAACGCTGGCAGTAAATAAACGAGTTTAATTCTAATAACAAACTTATGAGTTAAGTACTACTATTCTCTTCATCTTACAGATGTGAAAAGTGAAGTGTAATGAAGTTCAATACATTTCTAGGATCACGCAATTCGCAGTAAGTAGTAAAGATGAAGTCCAAACTCAGTAAACATGACTCTACAGCCAAAGCCTCAGCCACTACCGCATCTCATGATTTTATACCCAAAATAGCTCTGTGACGTAGAATGGAGCTGATATCACAACAAAATGAAACATAATTAAAATAGAAAAAGTGTAAGTTAATAAGAAAAATGACAAATACGTCAGCTAAAATCTCCCATTTTTAACAAAGCCCCAAATTGTACAGATAAAAATATTATAAGAAACAGTTTAGGTTCCTTCTTCCTTCTTCCTTACTCTTGTCTTCTAGGACTATGATGTTTTTATTCTTCCTTTTCTTCCTCATTCTTTTTTCTATCAAATTACGTTCTTAATTTTTTTTAAAGAAGAAAAACTAATCTACATCATATGCTTTATGTTTCTTATATAAAACAAAACTACTTATCTACTCTTAAATTATCTATTTCACTGCGACCTTTAAAAAATATTTATATTAAGACAGTAAATCCACATGGCATCATCAACTCTTCGTCTTTGATCATTGAAAATAAAATAGGTAAGAATTGATCTGGGATTATTTAGCAATACATTAAATATCTATCTGAAGTCATATACCTATCTGAAGATGGTCAATACCTAACTAAAGTCATAGCCAATAGTCTAGATAATCTTCTAAGATTTCTAAAAACACTGCCTGGGCGTGGTGGCTCATGCCTGTAATCCTAGCACTCTGGGAGGCCGAGGTGGGTAGATCAAAAGGTCAGGAGTTCAAGACCAGCCTGACCAATATGGTGAAACCACGTCTCTACTAAAAATACAAAAATTAGCCAGGCATGGTGGCGTGCGCCTGTAATCCCAGCTACTCAGGAGGCTGAGGCAGGAGAATCACTTGAACCCAGGAGGCAAAGGTAGCGATGAGCTGAGATCACGCCACTGCACTCCAGCCTGGGCGACACAGTGAGACTCCATCTCAAAAAAAAAAAAAAAAAAAGTCTCTAAAAACACTAACTTTATTTTCAAACAGGATATGAAGACACATTGTCTAATAATCTGCGGTTCAAAATTAGACTATCTAGAACTTTAACAGATTCCAGTTTGCTATAAACAGTTATTCATAATATCACAACTTAAAAACACTTAAATGTACTCCAAATACAGTGTAACCAAGCTCACTGTCATTCATGACTAGAAAATTCACCAGGGGTTGAACTGAAGCTTTTAAATCAATGATTCCTCTTTAACAGTTATCCTTTTATTTTTAATACTGTTAGAGTATACTTTGAAGTGCAGACTTGGTGGAAGTTTAAAGAATTAAAAACATAAACTGCACCTGTTTTAACTTGTTAGATCTAAGAACAACTGAAACGAGATGGTTGTATTTTAGCACAGTAACCGATCACGCTGCTAAAGAATTAATCATAACATTACTCATATTTCCCAATTCGAAACATAAGAAAAGCAGCACAGGTGATGCTTATGAAAAGGTGCCAAGAAATCGGCGCCCCACGGAGCCCCGAACTCTATACCTCCGCCTGCAGGATGGCAGCCCTCTGCTCCTTGGCAGTCAAGGACTCCTTCAGCACCTCGATGTGCTGCTTACTGTCTGAGAACTGGTTTGTGAGCGTCTCCAGCTTTGTCTGCAGGGCGAGGAGCTCCGTGTCCTTTCTGGACAGCTCCTGCTTCACCTGGCCGATCTAGAAAAGAAGTAACACACTTTAAGGAAAAAAGAAATCAAACACACACCTCTTATCTGGCTCTTTGACAGGTCCGAGTCGCAAAATACGAAACTAAATGCAGCACGAATTGTACGACAGGTCATATTCATCTTTTTGCATCACATAATCTTGGATCTCCCCCAACCCTGCGCCAAAAAACAAAAACAAAAACAAAAAAAAACCTACACTTATTCAATAGGTAAATGTCCAGTTTTCAGTTACTGTGTCTCCTAAATATGCTTTGAAACCTCTTAGAAAGGGAACGGAAGGAAAGGAATTCCAATTCAATTAGGTGACTCTGAGACAGCAGTAAGCAACTGAACACCACTGTACTGATAAAACGGTTTTCATTTTTCTAGGTGAGCCCTCTGCAGAACACAATGGGTCAAATGCAGGATGAGTGTAGATATAACACAAAAGGTTTTAGAGACCTCCCAGTACTACTATTTAAAATTCAAAATCTGCTGCTACTGTGCTTATTTTTCATTGTCATCTTTTTCATTCTCAAAAGTTTGCATAAAATTCTTACCTTAAAAAGCTATTTTTAAGGTTATACATATGTGGTTTTGTAAAGTCCTATAATTTGATGTTATGTGTATTGATTAATTTCTCTCTTAACATTGAAAGTATTTTCTTTCAAATACCTTCGTTACATTCCTACTGTTTTCTAAGAATTTTTAACATAGTTTTTTTACCCTAAATGTAAGCCATGTAAACAGAAATTGCATCTGCTTTTACATTATGTCTACCGCCTAACAAGGAACTAAAAAAGATACTAATTACTGGAAGTATAAATTTGACAAGTCAGTAATTTCGGTGTCACTGATGAAACAAAAAGTTATCTTTTTATTTTTAAAACCTTGAATGTATCTAAAGTATTGTAATTGTAATAATCTTAGGTACAAGGGATAAAGCTTTTGAGAACAATTTCCCATGAAGAAATAAATTTCACATTAATTAAAATTAGACATTTGAGGAGCACCAAAAATAAATTTCCAATTTAGCCTTCTGTTTCAAAAAAGATTAAGTATTTTTCTCATACGCATAAAATCTCTTCTTAGAGATATATTCATTCAACAAATATTTCTGTATGCTTACTGTATAAAAAGTACCTGAGGATACTAAAAACATCAGTGGAAGGTAATTTTAAACGGTGGCTCTATTCATCCTGCAAAATAGTATGTACCCAGGAGTTACCACACACTGTAACAGCGTGGAGTCTTTTATGATATTCCTTTATCAATAAAAACAACCCATTAGTATTACTCCATTCCCTAACATACTGACTGTAACAAAAATACATCTGTTGTACAAATGAATATTTTGGGGATGTTCAAAGTGTTACCATTTTCTCAGCTAAAGAACTATGACTTAAAGATTATTCAAATTTCCAGCTACCTCCAATCATGTGATCAAAAACAAATATAAAAATCTGTTTCGTCATCATCTGCATTATTAAGTAAGCTTCAAATAATGCTATATTGACCTTAAAGACTGAGACAGAAAACATTTTAAATGAAAAGCAGGGTTTAGGCCGGGTACAGTGGCTCACGCCTGTAATCATAGCACTTGGGGAGGCCGAGGAGGGTGGATCACAAGGTCAGGAGATCAAGACCATCCTGGCCAACATGGTGAAACCCATCTCTACTAAAAATACAAAAATTAGCTGGGCGTGGTGGCGCGTGCCTGTAGTCCCAGCTACTCAGGAGGCTGAGACAGGAGAATCGCTTCAACCAGGGAGTCAGAGGTTGCAGTGAGCCGAGATCTGGCCACTGCACTCCAGCCTGGCGACAGAGCAAGACTCCGTCTCAAAAAAAAAAAAAAAAAAAAAGAAAGAAAAAGAAAAAAAAGAAAAGCAGAGTTTAGAAGCACAAATTTTCCTTAAAGACTGAGACAGGAAGATATTATAAAGGGGAAGTAAATATAATACAAAGCTTAGGAGCACAAGGCTTTGCAGACAATCACACATCAGAACTAAGTTAGCTATGTGTCCCTGAATAATTACTTTCCTAATCAGTTTCCTAATCAGTAATAAGGAGAAATTATACCACTGCCACTGTACTGTTTATGGATTCAATAAAATAAAGTGTGAAATGTGCTTAGCCTGTTGTCTGACTCAATGCAGAAATTAGTAGCTTATTTTAAAAAGGAAGTTATCGATCAATCTTCCCTCTTGACAATATATGGTTTCCATAAACCAAATTAGACCCTTTCCACCAAAATATTTCACTTTTTAATATATACTATAAAGTGGACCATAAATAGCAAATCTACCAAAGTAGCACAAGTTGGGTTTTTTAAATGCTGTATTTCAGTCTTAGCCGACAATTATTTTCCGAAGCAGTTTTTGCTGACACTTTGACAAATGTGGGCACATCCTAGTATAGGTCAGTATAGTAAAGAACTTGTAAGCAGTATATGGAAGAAGACTGCTTGTATAAAACCAAATCCTGCCTCTTACTAGCTGTGTTTTCCTAGGCACCATCCTGTTACCTCAGCTTCCTCGTCTATAATTTGGAGTTGATAATATGCCTAACTCAGCACGTTATAAAGAATGTTTATAGTAAGTGTGCAAGTCTTAGCTATTTTATTATTCAGTCATCCCTCAGTATCCATGGGTCCATGGGGCACTGGTTCCAACACACACCTTGGACACCAAAATTAATGAATGATGAAGTCCCTGATACAAAATGATGTAGAATTTGCATATAACCTATGCACACCCTCCAGTATACTTTAAATCATCTCTAGATTATTTAAAATACCTAACACAATGTAAATGCTATGTAAATAGTTGTCATACTATATTGTTTAGGGAATAGTGACATGGGAAAAAAGTCTGTACATGTTCAGTACAGACACAACATCCATTTTTTTACCCTGAAAATTAAAAACAGTTGGTTAAATCCACAGATGCAAAATCCACAGATATGGAGGGCCAACTGTATTTATTTTATTATTACGTTCTGAATTGAAATTTTAAGTTCATCAGAATATTGAACTAGATAGGTGTAGATACCTGACATAAGTCTCTTAGTAATTTTAATTTACTAGATAAATACTTTCTATATATCTGTCCTAAAGAAAGGAACATTTGTGGCAAAATCACTCACTGAAGACTTAAAGATAATGTCTACATAAGAAGGTAAAGCACTTTACTCAAGAGTTTCAAATTCAAATAAATTCTAGGTGATGGGCCTAGAACAACTGCATATATTCTTGTACCTAGGAAGAAAAGAAGGCCACCATTTATAGAAATCAACAATAAGGGGTTGAGGAAAAAACAGGCTTTGAAATACCATCCACAGAGTGATAAAAGCAACAATAAAGTACCAGGTATGAGGCTTCCAGAACACGTGAAGGCTCACTGCACACAAAGTGACATGTGGGTCAAGCTGGTGAACAGGAGTCAGTTAAAGAGCAGAGCAGGCTGGTTAGTGCTAGCAATGGGCAAAGCTGCCAACCATAGAGAATGAAAGGGTAAGCCACTCAGAAGCCATAGAGCTGGCAGGGTCCCACTGTGGGATCACTGCACACAAAGAGGTACATCTTACGGCAAAGACCTCAGCCTGAAGACCAGCCGCTCTCTTTTTCAGCTCCTCCCATTGAGCCTCTTTCGAACTTAGTTCCTCCTTCAGTTGTTCTACCTGTCACGACATTATTATTCTTTTTCACTTATGTGTCAACTTAGGTCTTCTTATTATTTACTTTTGAGCCAGAATGGTAACTGGAAATAACAATAACTTATACAATACAATCAAATCTGTTCCCCTCATTCCCTCTTCAAAGAGCCATAGGTAATTTCTCTAAGTTCACAGGTTTTCTTTTCCCCACAGTGGACTGGAATGTGCTTATCAATAAACAAAAAACATAAACACAGAGATCATACTGCACTATGTTTTGTTCTCAAATTAGGGTGAAAAATTCAAACTCATCGAAAGTTGGATATGTGAGGCCAGGCGCAGCAGCTCACACCTGTAATCCCAGCACTTTGGGAGGACAAGGCAGGAGGATCACTTGAGGTCAGGAGTTCAAGCCTCACCTGGCCATCATGGTGAAACCTGTCCCTACTAAAACTACAAAAATTAGCTGGGCATGGTGGCAGGCGCCTGTAATCCCAGCTACTCGGCAGGCTGAAGCTTGAACCTTGGAGATGGAGGTTGCAGTGAACCGAGATGATGCCACTGCACTCCAGCCTGGTCGACAAAGCATACCTCCATCTCAAAAAAAAAAAAGAAAGAAAGTTGGGTATGTGAGTTTTTAATTTCTAAACCTGAAATGAAATTAGTAGAAATAATTAACAATAGAGTCTGAAGGTAGCAGAGGAACATTCTGGAGACTTACATGCCAGGTATGGGCACCATGGCAAGAAGCCAGAAACGGAAGGGGAAGTGAGATTATCATTCCTTCACACTACTGGGATGTTTCAGTTTTCATTTCTGAGAACTTGGAGAATACAATTGGGAAATAAAGGGGGAAAACACTTATTTTCTGGCTAAAACTTTGTAACTACAATCATAATGTTTAATTAACCCACAACAAAACTGGTAAATTGATCATTGTGATAAATTAAATCCTCCACCTTGCCGAAACAGTTTACAGAATCAAACTAAATGACTTTGGATACAAGGAAGGAACACTGTGACTGATTGCAAACACAGACTGATAGGTCTTGGTGCATCTCTCTTTGTCATATTACGCCTGAAACGCACATGGGAAGCAGTAAACCTGACAGTAAGTGGATCTTCCCCACAGGACAGGGCAGAGAAAGGGCTTTCCTTTACAGAACTGTATTTGGAGGGGAAACGGAATGTCATTTAACCCATTTCATTAAAAAGCCTCTTAGGGCTGGGCATGGTGGCTCACGCCTGTAATCCCAGCACTTTGGGAGGCTGAGTCAGGTGGATCATGGGATCAGGAGTTCAAGACCAGCCTGGCCAACACGATGAAACCCCGTCTCTACCAAAAATAGAAAAAAAATTGGCCAGGCGTGGTGGTATGCACCTGTAATCCCAGTTACTCAGGAGGCTGAGGCAGGAGAATCACCTGAACATGGAGGCAGAGGCTGCACTGAGCTGAGATCACACCACTGCACTGTAGCCTGGGTGACAAGAGCGAAACTCCATCTCAAGCCTCTTAGGGTTTTGACTTTTTAAATAATTCACAAGAGGTAAAGAACTTGATATTTCACATACTGAGAAAAACTCATCTGGAAGTTTTTCGGAAGTACTAATAGATATGAAAAGTTAAACCGTGAAAATACATATGTAGCCTCATACAGAGAATCGTCTTTATAAGTAAAAACTGGTAATAACTATCTAAGTCAGTAATTCTGACTTTAATTCTGGAGAAGTTTCATTTGAAAGAACTGTGCTAAAAGTATTCTTCCCTTAAACCTGATAAAACAGTGTAAAATACAGTTTTATCATTGTTAGAGAAGTAAAAAATATGCATCAATTTTTCAAACCCCCTTTAAGGATCAAAAGTCTCACAGGCCATTACCTTATTTTTCATAAATTTAGAATGGCTCCGATACACTTCCATTTGCTTCATTTCTTCCTCCCGTTCCTCAGTACTCAAAGCCCCATTCGATTTCAGCATCTGAATCTCCTCTTCCAGGTCTCGGAGCCCACGCTCCATAGAGGAAATTTTTGAATCCTGAAGACAAGAGAAGATTTAGTGATTGAAGTATTCACAAAAGCCCAGAAAACCTGAATAACATGATATTTAAAGATGTTACATTTAATAAAGATAGACAAATATACGGAAAAAATGCTGTGTGGCAATTGGTGCCTTGCTTCCTTTTTTTGAGACAGAGTCTCACTCTGTAGTCCAGGCTCGAATGCAGTGGCACGATCTTAGCTCACCACAACCTCTGCCTCTGGGTTCAAGCAGCTCTCCTGCCTCAGCCTCCCAAGTAGCTGGGATTACAAGTGTGCACTACCACGCCCAGCTAATTTTTCTATTTTTAGTAGAGACAGATAGAGACAGGGTTTCGCCATGTTGGCCAGGCTGGTCTCAAACTCCTGACTTCATGTGATCCACTTGCCTCGGACTCCCAAAGTGGTGGCCTTAAGGGCATGAGCCACCATGCCCAGCCAGTGCCTTCCTTCTAAAATACGTCCTTTACAGCCTTTTGAGTGGGAGGAGAAGTACTCATATCCACAGTATGATTTTTCCTCTATGGCTGCCTCCAGTTCTGAATCCCTTAAATTAAAGTTGAAAATAATTACTAAATTACTAAAGTAAATGCAATGAAAAACTGGTTAAAATTTCTTCGCATCAGAAATTACAAATTTCTGGTGAAAAAAATTTCCAATATTAATAGTAAAGCCTTTTCTAGTTCTAATATTTTATCATTATTTGGTGACCCCTAAAAAACATATTATGCCCCAAAGGAGGGGAAAAAAGTAAGAGAGTTCCAAAGATTTATACAGTAATGTGTACAGCGATATGTGCAATAATAAAAATTACCTAACATCCCATTGCAGAAAAATGAGGGAATAATTAAGTTGTTATTTATCATGTTAGAAATCCTTATTGTCTACACTTCTCCATACATTTAAAATAATTCCTAATTTTTAAAAATCACTGTCCTTATAAATCATCATCTCTACCACAAATATCACCTTCTAACAGAACATTACTTCATATTCGATTTCTTGATTTTGTTTGTCGCAGCACCCAGTTTCTCCCCAGACTACCTGACCTGTCCTGAATGACAGAAACAGTCCTGCACGGAATGAAGAGTTTCACACATCTGTAGTCGCATAGGCTTACTCACCGAAGAAACAGAGGCCTTAAAGAGCCAAAATTAAGTGCAGCTTTATTTCACTTGGAGTTTTAGAGAAACCATTCCTTTGGAAGTTATTTTGAAATTAACTTCCTTTTCTTCTTCACCTCAATGATTTCTTGATTAAGTCTCCTTAATTCTCACAGCATGAAGATAGGAGAGATTAAGGTTTATCTTGAGAAAACTCCACCTAGCTATTTCAGGTTCAAGGGAGGGGAGAAGAGAGGATGTATTCCTCTGTCTTGCTCATCACATGACCTTTAAAAATATCACCACGAAAATTTTCTTTTATAAATTCACTCAAATTAAAATGTATCTGTTCAAAATCCATTGTACGGAATTAATACAATCAGCGTCATTCTATCCCTGAACCGGGATTTTTATTTACTCATGTGAAATGACTGACCTATAAGAAGTCCTACTTCAATTGCACCACCTGAAAATTTACTTTTAAGATTGCTGTAAGATTTCTCTGGAAATATCGGAACACAGCCCCTTAAAAAAGACTAAAATACTAGGCATAAGCATATGACTAGCCTACAGATGAAAGAAAGTTAAATGTAAGTTCTCCTCTGTCATTAGCCTGAGTGGTAATGAAACTGGACCAGCTGAAAGAGTGAAGTGTTTCTCCAGCAGCACTGGGGCTCCACTTAAGACAATTTAGTCCCAGGTGAGAACTCCAACTCTGGAGAACTCCAACTCTGCACATCACATGGCAGCCTGCACCTGCACAGAGCTTCTAGAAAGTCTCTACAAGGCCCTTCAAAAATATTATCTATCTTCTCCCCTACCCCAAACACAGACAGAGGAAGCTTTTGACAAATTAAAAAAATACATTATCTATCTTCTCCCCTACCCCAAACACAGACAGAGGCAGCTTTTGACAAATTAGCACCCTCACTACCAAATCATGCACCATAAAACTTTCTTCCCAAAAAGGGATCATGACTCCAGCTCGGAAAACCAGGAAGCAGGTACTGACTGACCAGAAAACTTACCAAGGAAATCAGGCCAGAAAATTAAGGCCTGATACGCTCAACTAGTTCTAGCACCAACCCAACTGGTACCAATGCTGGGTTTGAGGAGAGTCATTCCAACCAGGTTTCTTACTCCTAGAATGTGTAATATTTAAATAAATAAATTCCTTCTCACTTTACTACTCTGTACTTCCCCAGCCCCAGCTCTTCCGTCATTGACCAACCAATCCCACTGGACTTACTGAAATCCTCTGCTCTTTGTCAAATCCCCAAATGCTCAACCTTTTTCCCATGAACTCTCTCCAGTGAAGGCCAGTAATCCCCCAACACCACAAAGGAGCAGGGGAAAGGGCTGACGTTCTCCCAGCTCCTCAAGGCTGTTTCCCTTTATGGGAAGCTCACACTCCTCTTCACCCCCCCCTCCCCATTGCTGCCATCCAGGGACTTCTCAATCACTCCTGCCCATCTGTGGAAGTCTTTGGCACCTGGCTTACAATACCCCCTTCAATCACCACTCTTGCCATAATCTGAGGACTGCAATGTCAGAATTCCTTGACGCCCTTAATTGCAATGATCTCATCCTCCAGTCCATTTCAGCAATCCAGTTTATAGGATTATACTCTGGATCCTATCAACACCCAGAACTCTCTTCCCCAGGCCTGTTGTACCCTCACTCTGATTATTTCCTGTTCAACCTCAAAGAGAATTCCACTTTCCTGACTTTTACATTTTCTCCCAACCTGTCAGTCCACCTGAATTTTATTCCTTCCACATCCAGGGTACAGTCCAGGCCCAACCTCCAAACTACTCTGTCATGATCACCCTCAATTCATTTGCATCCCAATCACTCTGCCTTATCCATACCAGCAACACTCTAACCCTAGAGCAGTGCAGCAGTTCCTCCCTGTTCCTCCACCGGTGACGGAAAAACAAACAAACAAACAAACAGCAGAGAAAGGGGAGGAGGAGAAACAGAAGAAGAGGGGCAAAGAAGGAAAGGCTGGAATGAGGGAAAATGGTGGGAGAAGGGATAAGAGGAGGAAAGAGAGGAAGAAGAGGAGGAGGAAGAAGAGGCGAAAGAGGAGAGGGCAAAGAAAATGGCATCACCTTGAAGATGATGGGGCTCTTTTACTTCAGTCATCTTTCCTCCCTACTTTCCCTAAAGACTATTCTAGATTTTCATAATTCTCTTAGGCGCATTCCACGTTCTCAGCAACACAGCGATTTCTGTTGTGATTTCAGCATCGCATCTTGACCCCACTGGGCCACCAGAATCTTTCTCCTTCTTAGCAGAACGGCTGAAGGTTCCCACAACTTAAAATGCATCCAGTGCCACCAAGTACTACTACTACTCGTCCTCATTCTGTCAAAAGGTGGTTAAACAAATAATTTTGTGAACACAGGTACATTCGTGTGTTTTATTCTTAGGTGTTAACAAGGATCAGGAAATAACTTGACAGATAAACTTGTGGTGAATGTGAAAAAGGTAAACCATGCAACTGAACCATTCTAAAGACCCTTTACAAGATGATACTCAAGACTACTAATTAACTACAAAGAACCCAGAACCCACTAATTTGGAATTTGGTAAATCCTTTCCCTACCGAGAATAAAGATGTATACAATATAAAGTTTTAAGAGGAAATCATCCAAATTAAGACAACAGTTCCCATAACTACCTATTTACATAAAATTATTTACATACCATTAACTAAATATTCTTGTCATATCAACAAATATTAAATGAAGGCCCACAATGCAAAATACAGGATTGAGCTTTCCAGAGGATATGAAGAAGTAGTTGTGGGGGGAGGTCCCTAACTACACAAGCTTTTATGAGAAAGAAGATTGTTAACAAAAATAACAGCAGCAGCAGCTAGTATAGGTTGAATGTTTACTACGCGCTAGGTCCCGTTCAAAGTGTTTTTACATGTTTTAACTAAACCTCAAAACGACCCACTGGATGAGTACTATTACTATCACCATTTGTTGATAAAGAAACTGAGGCACAGGTGATTTGCTCTGTATCTTACAGTTGGTTAAGTGAAGTGAGATTTTGAATCCGGGGAGTTTAATTTAGAAAGCAAGCTCTTAATTACTATACTGAACAGCCTAAAGGTTTCTAAATATTCATTGACTTAAGGCAGAGGTTTTCAAAGGATGGTCTGTGGGGCCCTCAGGGTACCCTCGACCCTTTCACAAAGTATGCATGATCAAAACTATTTTCATAATAATACCATGATGTCACTTAACCTTTCCACTGTCTGCGCTAAAGATATAAAGCAACGATGGGTAAAATTGCTGGTGCCTTAGCACAAATCAAGGCAATGCATCAAACCATACTTGTAGTCATTACATTAATATTTGTCACATCAAGTACTTGCAGGAAAAAAGTGAAAAATAAGAAATAAAATTTTCAAAACACCACTTCACCTAAGACTGTCCTTTAAGAAGCAGTAAAAAGTATTACTTTTAATAAATCTCGGCCAGGCGCACTGGCTCACGCCTGTAATCCCAGCACTTTGGGAGGCCAAGGCAGGCGGATCACAAGGTCAGGAGATCGAGACCATCCTGGCTAACACGGTGAAACCCCATCTCTACTAAAAATACAAAAAATTAGCCAGGCACAGTGGCGGCCACCTTATTCCCAGCTACTTGGGAGGCTGAGGCAAGAGAATAGCATGAACCCCGGAGGCGGAGCTTGCAGAAAGCCAAGATCGCGCCGCTGCACTCCAGGCTGGGTGACAGAGTAAGACTCCGTCTCAAAAAAAAAAAAAAAAGAAAATAGAAAATAAAAAAAATAAATCTCAACTCTAGAGTACATATACTTTTAATATATCGTGTGTGAGAAAACGGAATGAAGCTGCGCGCTGAAATACGATGGTTGTCCCTAAGCACAGTACTTGTGTGTTGCTTTGAGTTGTAAGCTGAATTCAGTATTTTCTTCACCGAACACCGTTTTCACCTGAAAGACAACTGACAAGCTATGGTTACCCAGCTTTGGTATTCAGTAGACATCTTCTTTTAAAATGAAGGAAGTGAGTCTGTCACTTTAAGAGAATAAAGGGGTCCTAAGACCAAGACATTTGCGAATAGCTGATTTAAAGAAATTCTGTTCAACTCTTTTTGGTCCAATTTGAATTACGGTCTACAAGTAAAAGGAAAAAAATTTGAAATTCTTTTAGGATATCATTGACATTGATTCTCACTCTTAATCTCCAAATAAGTAAAATACTATTACATGCCATTTCCTAACACTCACACATGGAAGTTTTTGATCACTTAAAAGCATAAGGTGAGGCCGGGCGCGGTGGCTCAAGCCTGTAATCCCAGCACTTTGGGAGGCCGAGACGGACGGATCACGAGGTCAGGAGATCGAGACCATCCTGGCTAACACGGTGAAACCCCGTCTCTACTAAAAAATACAAAAAACTAGCCAGGCGAGGTGGTGGACACCTGTAGTCCCAGCTACTCGGGAGGCTGAGGCAGGAGAATGGCATAAACCTGGGAGACAGAGCTTGCAGTGAGCTGAGATCCAGCCACTGTACTCCAGCCTGGGTGACAAAGCGAGACTCCGTCTCAAAAAAAAAAAAAAGTATAAGGTGATTCATAAGATTCTTTACTAGATTCTCACTTACCTTCATCTCAATAACAGTTTGCAGGGCTTTTGTTTTGGCAGAATCAGGAGCGTTCTCAAACCTGCGATGCATCTCCTGTGGAAAAAAGGCAAGAAGAGATTCAGTGTTCTCCTGCTCGCTCTCATTTTTTTCAGAGGAGCGAGAGCCGATGTATGCAAACGATCACTACAGCCTCATGAGACACGGACCCCTTCGGTGTTACCAACCCTTCCCCGTGAACCAGGGACTCCACAGACTGCATTCAGGCGCACTCACCCGTGCAGGCATAGGAGGATCCCTACCTCTGAACACCCAGTTACTTAAAATCAGTCACACAGACGCCAGCTACCACAACAGTTCAAACTACTGTTTCACATCCTCAGGTGGTGTGTCAGTCAGTCTTCCACATGACCCCGAGACATGTAATCGGAATTCCAAACGATCCAAAAAGGGGATGAGAAATGCTCCCTTTTAAAAGGAGAAATAATAGACACCATCACAATCAGTCTGCACTGCTGACTGCAGCTATGGAAAGCAATCTGTGTTGACAACGTCCTTTCCACGGCATCCACCCCCAGAAAAACCACCACCTGGTTACCTGCGGTGAAGATCTCTCTCTAGTGGTGCTACAGTTAGGAAGAAAAAGATGACACTGTGGAACAAGTTTCCTAAGTAGGTCAGGTTCAGAAAATGTCAGAAAAACAGAGTGGTTTTTTTTTTTTTTTTTTTAACCCAAATTTTATTGAGTTCAGGATAGAAAAGGAGGGAAGGGATATATCAGAGTCTTCCAGGTCACCGAACCACCTCAGTGATTTTCTTGTCAGACTCTGCGAATGTCTCTAAATAAATCAGTCAGTACTTCCCAGTACCCTGTGGACAGGCTCTTGGGAATCCAGGGAATCCAGAGATGAACGCTTTATGCTACCTCTCTCCCTACTTCCAGCTTTCACTATCTGCCTAGTTATCCCACATTCATGTCCAATAAACATTTCAAACTCTACGTGCTCAAAACTCAACTCCTGGCCAAGTGTGATGGCTCACACCTGTAATCCCAGCACTCTGGGAGGCAGGAGGGTCCCTTTGGGCCAGGAGTTCGAGACCAGTCTGGGCAACATGGCAAGACGTCATCTCCACGCCTGATGGTGCCCCCAAACCTGCTCCGTCCTTCCTGTTACTCAGGCCAAAAGCCTATGAGTCTTCGTAATGCCTTCCTCTCGCTCTCAAGCCGCGGTCAGGAAATCCAGTTACCTCTAGCTTTAAAACATACCCAAAATCCAAGCACTTCTTGCCGTCTCCACTGCCAACACCTGGAATGAACCACTAAACAAAAATACACCTTTTAATCCATGACAGCCTTCTAACTGAGCGCCCCTTATCTTCTACAGTGTATTCTTAATGGAACACTGAAAGTGACCCTTTCGAACACAAAGTTGTCCTTGTTGGTCCTCTGCCGAAAACCCTGCCATAGCTCCCCATTCAGCTCAAAGTAGAGCCAAAGTCCTCTCAGCAGCCTGCAAGGCCTCGTCTCTTCTCATCCCTCCCTGGGTCACCATATGCTTTAGCCCCCGGGACTCCCTGCTACTCCTCAAATATGCTAAGCATGCTCCTGATCCTTGAGGCCTTTGCACAAGCTGCTAGGGGAAGACTTCACTTCCTTCCAGTCTTGGCTCAAATGCCTTTTTTGTATTAGTATTAGGTTTAGTTGTTCTCTCGTTATGCAAGAAAATGTCCATATATTTTAGAGATGCATGTTAAAGTCTGCAGAGGAAAATCACACCATGCGAGGGATTGGCTTTAAAATCTTTGGTAAAGAAAGGAGGAAAAAGAAAAAAGGATACAGGAAGGAAGTGTGGCCAGATTTTCGAAACTGGTGTATCTGAGTGATTAGTATAGGGAGATTCATTATACAGTTCTTACTGCTTTTGTGTAGGCTTGAAAACAAAATGAATGGTCAATGTTTTCAGTATAATTTACACCTTATTTTAAAACGTAACACAGCCAAAAAAGAACGCACGTGTCCTTCCCCCTTTACTTGCTCTGCTTTTTCCTATAGACAGCACTTGCCCTCTAACGTATTTTATGACTTATTGATTATATTTACTTACTATTCTCTACGAGAATGTACGTTCCACAAAGGCTAAGATCTTTGTTTCATTCATTCGCTGATGGATCCAAAGCACCTACAACAGCAGCTGCCACTCTGGTAAGTGCTTAACAGACATTTAGGGCATGAATACTGAATGAATGAAACGGCTACCAAACGTTCGAGAATTAGCTAGAAAGGAAATATTTCAATCCCTTCCTACTCCTGTGCTGAATTGTGCGCACCTCCTGTTTCTCATACAGCACGTTACACAGCTTACATAGCTCGTCAGCACTTACCACACTGTGAGCAATAATTTTTCTTCTCTAACATACCATACTGGGAACCCTTTAAGTATAGAAACCGTCTTCTGTATTCCTCAGCACTGTCTGATATGTAAGCAGTCATTAAAAATTACTTCTCCTCCCTATCTGTTCCTCTTTTGTTAGATGAAGGAATGAACGATAAATGAATGAATGATCAGCCAGTTTCTATCCTCACCTCTCTACTGAACCACATGCTCTAAAATAGCAAATAAAAAACCTCCTTGTTTCTAAACCTAATAGCTATTGTCAGTTCACCTTCTTTGCAAACTCTAGCTGGTACTGGGAAAAAAAAAAAAAATTAACCACAGAGTTAAAGAAGGAACATCTTTAAATTTTTCAAGTGGCTTCCATTAAAGAATTATCCTAGCTCTAAATTCTTATTCTCCCTCGTTTCCTTTCCTACCTGCAGACATTTTCTAAATTCCTGTCCTCGGAACATCTGGATTCTATAGCCTGAATCCAAAGCCTTCACTAATCCACAGAGCAACTTCATGTGAATTTTTAAAAAAGGAACCCTTCTTGGCTAGACGCGACATCACCACGAAGCACAGGCTGAATTTTAGGGGAAGCTCTTGTTTGTGAACAACCCACACAAATAATCATCCAAAAGAGCCCTTCTCTAATCCTGTGGTTTCAACTATTACCTTTTCACATATACCCCACAAAATCTATTTCATCTATTTATCTTGCACTGTGGCAGGCATCCATCACTCTTCCCTGCCGTGTGATAGCTGACCTCCTTAGTCTGTGTGGGAACTCCACATTTTAAGGCAGAGTCTACCTCCCACAACAGAAACTGAAAATGCCACATACTTGCTGCCCAGCCTTTCTTGTAATTAAAGCTCAGCTACGCGACCTAATCACCTCAATCAGACTCATTCATCACGTACTTTAAAACAGACTCTTGTGACATGAAGAAGCCGGGACGTGAATATTTACAGACAATTCCAGCAATGGGTGGCAGAGGCAGCAGCCCCCTCAGGCTTCCGGACACACCAACAGCGGGGGCTCCAGCGGAGGTGAGCAGCGTTAGTGATGACAGCGTAACACACTAACATGCCTGTGCCACGCAGCACTGTCATCACTAAACCAACAGAGGAGTAGGATTGATTCGAGGCATTCTTCTTGTCTACATAACTTCTGAGCCCGGTCCTAGTCCTCCCAGAGGCTCTGGGACCTATGTATTTATCCATTGGTGCACTCCAGGAACAATGCTTTGGAGATATAATAATGAGAAATAACATATTTGGTGTGTTTTATCATGGAAGCTTTAATAGGAAAAATAGAGTTTAATCAAATAATCATCGACATAATTCATCAGGGTCACTGACGACCTCCACGTTGCTGCCACCACGATGTATCCTTAGTCACTGTGCCTGATCTATCAGCGGCGTTTTACACAACCGCTCAGTCCCTCTTCCTTACTCTACTCTCTTCCCTTGGCTTTCAAGATATGGCACGCTAAGCTTTTCCTCATATCTTACTGGTTTTTTTTCTTCCCAACTCCTCAGGAGTGTCCCAAGCGTCCGTTCTTTGTAGTCTTTTCTTCTCCACCTACACTCATTCCCTTGGTATTCACCGTTCAGTATCATGCACATACTGAAAACTCCCAAGTGTTTACTTCCTACTGAAATCCACACTTGTATGTACCTTTGCTGTACTGGCATATCGACTATCTGCCCCACTGTTAACACATCGACAAGTGACCTCCTGGCCTTCCCCTCTCAACTTGCTTCACTCATTGTGCCTTGATTCATGGTGTGCATCCAGCCAGTTGTTCAAGCCAAAACCATAGGAGTCTCTTTTTTTCTTGCGCCTATATCCAACTCATCAGGAAATCCTGCTCTTCCCATTTTCAAAATATATCCTGAAAATTACCACCTCCACTGTCACACTGCCACCATTATCTTTTGCCTGGATTACACCAACAGTCTCCCAAATCTATCTCACCATTCAAAATAGAGTATCCAGAGTGATCTTTTTAAAACAGAAGTCAAAACATGCTTGCAATTATCAAAAGCTTCTCGTTTTACTCACAGTAAAAGTCACAGTCCTTATGCTGACCTAGAAGGCTCTACATGATCCGGCCCTGTTACCTCTCTGGCCTCATCTCTTATACTCCTCTCTCTCATCCATTTGGCTCCAGCCAGACTCACCTCTTTGCTTTTCCTCAACATGTCAGTCACCCTCTTGACTTAAGGCCTTTGCACTCACTGCTCCCTTTGACAGGCTCTCTCCTTCCCTTAACTGTTGAAGTCTGTTCAAAAGTCAAAGTCTCGGCTGGGCACAGTGGTGCACGCCTGTAATCCCAGCACTTTGGGAGGCTGAGGCGGGTGGATCATGAGGTCAGGAGTTCGAGATCAGCCTGGCCAACACGGTAAAACCTTATCTCTACTAAAAATACAAAAAAATTAGCTGGGCCTGGTGGTGCACACCTGTAATCCCAGCT